GTGGGGGGGGGAAACGTCAACTGACTGGCTCCAACGTAGAACGACAGCATCCGGAGTGGTGGCAACGGGAGGGGCCATTTGACATTCCGGGAGCAATTTAGGACGCATGTAATGATCGGACAGTTGCGGGCGACTCTCTGGCACGTGTCAGCGGCCTCGGGGGCTATTTGTCTTACACGTCATTCCGTTATCTGCGAGAAGATCGGACGGCGATGGCGACGCCGAAGGTTCGGAAATCGACGGCCGTGGCGGATGACACAGATGTGACTGTGCCACTCCAGGCGGTAGTGGTCGTTGATAGCTTCGATCCCAACTTCCGGCCCGTCTCTCTTGAGAAACCCAGTGCTTTGTTCCCCTTGGTCAACATTCCCTTGATTAATTACACTCTGGAATGGCTGCAATCAGCCGGGGTGGAGGATGTGTTTGTCCTGATCTGCTGCTCCCAATCCAAGCAAGTGCTGAGCCATCTCGAATCGTTAACAGCGAGACGAACCGACAGGAGCGACTTCAACGCCAGCAGCAGCTATAAACTTTTGCAACGAGGAAGAATCAATGCCTGCGCCGGCCGCGGCGGCGGCGGCGGCGGCGAGAACAACTTTAAAGTCACACCTGTCGTTGCCCAGAACTGCACGACAATGGGTGACGCTCTGCGATTCATCGACGGCAAGGGTGTCATTCGTGGGGATTTCATCCTTGTCCGGGGGCATACGATCGGCAATTTCTCTCTGGCGGATGCTCTGGAAGAGCACAGGTGCAGAAGGAAGAAAGCTAAGCAGGCGGTGATGACGATGCTGTTCCGGCGGTGCAAGTCGTTGGAAACGACACGTCAGACTCGTTTTGGCGGGAACGAGTTGCTTGTGGTAATCGATTCGACGAGCAAGCAGCTGTTGGTCTATGACGACGGCAGCAAGTGGCCGGCGGTGGCGGGGAGGCTTCCGAAGCTGTCCCCGGGGCAAATGGGCCGGAATCATGTTCGGCAAGCCGGCTCCGAGTCGTCCGCCGCGGCTGGGAGAGCAGCGCGATGCACCCGACTAGATAGCGGCGACCTCAAGCGGCGCACGGCCGTCCAGCTCCGCATGGACCTCGTTGATTGCTTCATCGACATATGCGCGCCGGAGGTGCTCTCTCTCTTCACCGACAATTTCGATTATCAGACGCTGAGGAAGGATTTCGTCAAAGGATTGTTGTCGGACGACATAACGGGAAACGAGATCCACATTCACGAGTTGCCAGAGGACAGCTATGGTGCAAGAGTTGACACGTGGCGCGCTTATGACGCGGTTAGCAAAGATGTCATCCGGGGATGGGCGCATCCGTTTCGCCCGCCGCCGCCGCCGCCGCCGCTCGACACACGGCATGGACCCATCGTCTGCTCGTCGGCGGGTGACACGTGGGCGGCAAGCCCTCCTGACGACGACCAGGGACGCCGCCGTCACCGCCACGTGTCGGTTGCAGCCTCTGCCGTTGTTGGCGCCAACGTCGTTCTTGGCGATGGCTGCTCGATCGGTGAAGGGACCGTGATCTGGAACTCGGTTCTCGGACCAGAATGTCGGATCGGTTGTAATGTGAAGATCAGCGGTAGTTATTTGTGGCATGGGGCGACAGTGGGCGACAACGTCGAAGTCGCGCAGGCAGTTTTGTGCGATCATGTTGTTGTCATGAACAACGTGCGCATCCAGCCCGGTGCTGTGATTTCCTCCAACGTGGCAATCGGTGCAGGGCACACGGTGTCTCGCTATTCCCGTATTTCTCTCAAACCGCCACGGGAGAAGAAGGGTGAGAAGGAGGGCGATGGTGAGGAGGGGGAGGAGGAGGAGGATGAAGACGAGGACGACGAGCAGTTTTCGTGTCTTACGTCTCGTGGTACACCGCCGGGGACGCCGATCGCAGCTGGAAGCGGCGGCGGCGGCGGCGGCGGAGTAGCTCGACCTGAAGCAATCGAGCATGCCGCGTGCCGTGGCTCCGATGACGAGGGCGGGAAGCGGGAACACGTTGACGAGAGAGCATGGAGGGGGGAAGAGGTTGGCCAAGGGGGCAAGGGTTTTCTATGGCGCTGGCCTAAACAGGACGCTGATGACGAATGGCGGCTTTCAATAGGTGCTATTCCGGAGGAGAAAAAGCGGGAAATGGCCACGTTAGTGCGGAGTGAAGCTGACGTGGAACGGTTGGAGGACGATTCTTGGTTCTCTTCCGCGAAGAAACCGATCACGGGTGCCATCGATTCCCAGCAGCAGAGAGCTCGCAGCAACAAGAAGCTGGATGGCGCGAACGCGGAGGAGGAGGGCGATGAGGATGAGGAACGGGAGGAGGAGGAGGAGGAGGAGGAAGAAGATGACGAGGATGGAGGGAGAGAATTCGAAAGGGAGGTGATCGAGACAGTCAAACGGATTGTGTCAGAGGGAGTAAAAATCGAAGACGCGAATCTTGAAATAATGGCTTTGAAATTGGCATATAATAAAGAATTTGCCGACTGTGCAGGCGGAGTGCTGAAGGCTATGCTTGAGGCGGCGTTGTCTAATAAGCCGTATTCGAAGCCGGCGGAGCTGTTTGTGTCGTTGAAGAAGATGGTGCAGAAGTTGAGTCCTCTGATGAAAAAGTTCCTTAAGGACGCTGACGATGAAGTGGAAATGCTCCTGGCGCTGGAAGAGGTATGTATGGACGGACCTCCTGGGACAACACGTGGAGGGCTGCGATCATTCGGTCCGATCTTCGTGAATGTCTTGGAACTCCTGTATAATACAGGGCTTGTGAGAGAGGAGAGCATTCTTACATGGGAAGAGGAGAAGAAGGGAGCCGTCGAATCAGATAGGGTTTTTGTCAAACAGTGTGAAACGTTCCTGAAGTGGCTGAGGGAGGCAGACGAGGAGGAAGACGAGGAGGAAGGAGATGACTGATCGACGATGACGATCGGGGCCACCGACAAGAGAAATGGCTGAGGGTCTTGCTTGTGTATATGACTAAGGGGGGGGGGTTGGGATTGAGAACGGAGGACAGTGTCAACTAGGATGAATGGAGAGAAAGTAGACGTGGCTAGGGTTTTTGTCCAGCACTGTGAAGCGTTTCCTAATGTGGATGCAAGAGAAGGCGGCGGCGGAGGAGGAGGAGGGGAAATGGAGAAGACGACGAATTATCAGCAAAAGAGACAGAGTGGTTGTGAGAGAAAAGTGCTCAGGAAGACACGTGTGCAGTCGGTAACGAGGAAGGAGACGACTGATGGTGATCGACAGAGCGTCTGATGGGTAGGAGGAAGTAGACATTCTTTTAGGGGGAGAGAGAGAGAGAGAGAGAGATCATTGCAGTTAATTGGGAAGATTAGTTATGGGAGATATAGTCGAAATGAAGACGGTAACTGGATGATCGATGTTATTCCCAGATAGCGTGTTAGGGTTTCTGTGATGATCTGGATCTTAAGACTTGTACACCTGGCACCTGGCAAGGGTAAGGTCGTATTGCCACGTGGCAATTGGGAACATGCATGTCGGCTTGGAATTTATCACATTCTGTCCTGTAATGTTCCTTTTCTGCACACGTGTCATATCGATGCACGTTTCACCAACCGTGGAGGAAGATGGTTGTTTCGTGTACCCATGATGGTCATCCCACATTGCTTGGGATACGTTGACACGTGCACACACGACGGGGAACACAATTTGCTCGGTACTGTCACGTGATTGGCCGGCTGCTGAGGTTGCAGCGGCTGCTAAACGTGGCGACGGCATTGTCACACAATGACGGCGAAAGGACCGGTGAGGGGTGGAGGGGGTGGACGTGATAAAGAAAGAGAAGAATTCTTGGGTGTGAAGATACTGGAGGGCTTTCGCTGTCAAGGGTACTTTTCGACAGCTGTCGTGGCATGAGGACACCTGTCGTGATGTCTGGTGCTCGATTTGATTTGTACCTGCCGTTTGGCGGCACCGAGGATGTCAGGCCATTTGGTAGAGACGTGGTTTGACATGTTCCTACCGTTTGCTGTGTCGTCCTATGAACGTGACAGGTTGCCTGGTTTGTGCATTTCTTTATCGATCTATTTTTGACTGTCTGAAGATGGAGTTATGAGTTTCAGCCCGTCTGTGTGTTCTCTGGTTAATCAGTCCGGTGCGTGGGTGGTTGGCCGTTGGTCGGACTGCGGGTTGCCAATCGATTCAGTGGTTGATTTATTTATCAATTGATTGACCTAGGAGGTAACGGATCGATAGAGGTGGAGGAGTGTTTAAGTGAAAGCAGAATCCCGCGGTGCGCTGATCATCGACGTGTTCGGCGTTCTTGCCTTCAAAGTGGCATCCTCTTGCAGCCCCCCTGTGTGTCTGCCAGAGCGAGAGAGAGCGAGACAGAGCGAGAGCGAGCGAGCGAGCGAGAGAGAGAGAGAGAGAGAGAGAGAGAGAGAGAGAGAGAGAGAGAGAGAGAGAGAGAGAGAGAGAGAGAAAGAAAGAGAGGGAGGTTCTGTTTGGCCTGTCATTGTGAGTGGGTGTGCGTGTGTGGAGCGAGGAGGGTTACAAAGGTTGCGTCCTGTATGCCTCTGTATCACAGAATGGAAAAGAAAGGAAGGAGAGAGAGAGAGGGAGAGGGAGAGTGAGGGGAGCAGAGGACTGGGTTGTAGTCGCAAGGTGTGGGTACGGGGTGGTGGTGGTTTCCATAGGCTAAATAGGTCTTTCAGGTGCTTTGCCTGATCAGGACGGCTCAATTATGGTCCTCCTTTTCCTGGCATTTCCAAATCGAGCCCTGAGACCTAAATTTAATGTAGGACCAATTATTGGAACCAGAAGGTAGAGGAATTTGGGGCCAAGTATGTGGGAACTAGAAAGGTACGTGGGACAAGTACGTGGGACCTAGACGATGGAAGTGTCTTGTGGACCAAAGAGTGGAAGTAGAGAAGGTAGAGGTATGGCGTGCCATGCCGTGTTCGGAGCTTCATCATCCTTAGGCTAATGTGGCCGTCATCTGTAGCCTAATTAGGGGGGCCCCAAATAGTGGAACTAGGTGGTGGTGGAGGAATCCGTGACCAAAATGGTCTGACCTGACGTTAGACGGCCAAGGCTAACGAAAAAACGTTTTGCCAGAAGGTAGAGAGAGCTTTAACCTCTTAATTCGTTTTGTACCATGGAAAGAGCATTGTTTTCACTTTTGAGGCCATGGCTGTGGAGTTAGCTTGTTGTCGGCCAGGAGAGAGTTTGGGAGGCGAGGAAGAGAGTCGTCTGACATGTGGTTGGACGGTGAAGAGTCACCGAAGACAGATGAGAAAGTTTTGCCAAAAGGGGGAGAGCTTCTGTTTTTGCTTTTTTTTTTTCAATGGAAAGGGAGGAGCTGTAATCTCTCATCATTCGCTTTGTATTATGAAAAGAGCATTGTTTTCACCGGTAAGGGATCGACTGTGGATTCGGATTGTTTCTTCCCATGAAGAGGGGAAGGTGAGGAAAGGGGAGGTAGGGGGAGTAAAAAATAGGTGGGGGGAGGGGGGGGGGGGGGGGGGGGGGGGGGGGCGCGGAGGGAACGCGGGAATTATTTGATTCTTTGCAGTCTTTGGGTTCTGCAAAGACCCCTTGCTTGATTTTCAATTTGTTGTTTCGTTCTTACATTAGCATTACCTGTCAGTGAAACTTGGAACTGTAGTTTCTTTTCGCCGGGCCTGTCTGAACCGCCTCGATGTCCGACCCTTCGCCTGTTGCGCTCTTGCGGATGAGAGTGCATTTGCGATCCTGCCCAATCGGAAAGTTGTTGAGGTACTGAACCTAGAGATCATGGTCCATTCTATTTATGGTAAACTTACCGGTTTCCAACAAGTGAATAAGGATCCATTAACGGCTGGATTCTCTCTCTCTCTCTCTCTCTCTCTCTCTCTCTCTGTGAAAGTTCTTGAGGTACCGAACTTAGAGCTCATGGTCCGTTCTATTTATGGTAAACTAACCGGTTTCCAGCACTTGAATAAAGGATCCATTAACGGCTGGACTCTCTCTCTCTCTCTCTCTCTCTCTCTCTCTCTCTCTCTCTCTCTGTGCACCCGTGTTAGCCACTGGGCTCTTTTCACTCTCTCTGCACCCCGTTTTAGCAACTGGGCAATCCCGAGGGATCTCTCTCTCTCTCTCTCTCTCTCTCTCTCTCTCTCTCTGTGTGTGTGTGTGTGTGTGTGTGTGTGTGTGTGTGTGTGTGAGTGCACCCCGTGTTAGCCACTGGGCACTTTTCACTCTCTCTGCACCCCGTTTTAGCAATTGGGCATTCTCTCTCTGTGTGTGTGTGAGTGCACCCCGTGTTAGCCACTGGGCACTTTTCACTCTCTCTGCACCCCGTTTTAGCAATTGGGCAATCCCCAGGGATCTCTCTCTCTCTCTCTCTCTCTCTCTCTCTCTCTCTCTCTCTCTCTCGTCACCCCTGGTTAGCAACTGGGCACTCCCGAGTGTTCTCTGTCTATCTCATGCACTCACGCACACTTTGCATGCTATTGTCAGTACTTTCTTTCCTCTGTGTTCTTCTGTTTACGTGTCGTTGTCATAATGCTCCCACTGTCTGCTGGGTTTCTGCTGGGTTTCTTTCCTTCTGTTGTGTTCAGCGACCCACCTGAAAATGTGCCGAATAGTTTGGCTCTATTTGATGGAAGTGCCTTTTGCAGTGTTGACAATCCCTGCGTTTCATGGTGATGATCAATGGCCATCGTGAAGGTGGCATGAATCTTCAGTTTACAGAGTTTTCCATATGGTCCTTTCTTTTTGTGTGGGTTGGTGCTGCCGTGTTGCCTTACTGCCTGTGCTGTTGCCTTGTCACTGTCTTCTCATCTTGCAACCTTCGGCTGGCATTGCTGCCTGCTTTCTTGCCTGTCTGCCTCGCTGGTTCGTGTGCCATTTCCCAGCCAGCCTGCCCCAACCTTCCTGCATGCATCCTTCACCAGTGGCTTCCTTCGTCGCGTTGATGCCTGCCCATCTGCTGGCCTGCTGCTGCGTCAGTGTTGTCTTCATATGCCTGCCATCCCACTAGGACCCAGGTTTAAAGCATATTTGACTCAAAGCGCCAGTGGGGGATTTCACAGATTGTGGAGGCTCAGCCCCCGGATGATGCGCTGAGGGTTCAATGATTGTGAGTAACTAACCTTCTTCTTTTTTTTTTAAACTGATCTGAACATATACTGCACTTTATCTTAGCCAAAAGGGTGAGAAAGGTATACCTGCTTTCGCCCTCCTGTTCCCCATGCAGCGCTGCTAAATGCGAAAGCAGTAGTACCTCTAAGAGGACGCTCAAAATATCGGGTGCAAGTGTGTCAAAAGGCGGAGGGGTGTGTTGGCACCTAACGCTCAACCACACAGATGTGGCTGGCTCCGGAACTAGGAGCAATGAAATGGCCATTGCAGCAAAATCGTAATTCTTGTTAACCGCCAGTTCCTCCGATGTGCCGAAATCGGGTTGCTGCTGGGGCTGCAGCTGTGATGTAGTGGTGCCGCAGGGGCGGTTGGCCACCGGGGGGGGGCGGGGGCGGCGGGATGAGGACCCATGGAAGCGGGATGAGGACCCATGGAAATGTGGGACCATAATGAAAGGTGGGCCGATATGAGGAGGGTGCAGCGGTGACCAACAGACCAGCGGATGGCTTGGAGGGCAGGTGGGGCTTTTGAAACAAAGTGGGCCAGACGAAGGGGTGCACGCGTTAAATTTTCATTGGCTTGGAGGGCAGGTGGGGCTTCTGAAACAAAGTGGGCCAGACGAAGGGGTGCACGCGTTAAATTTTCATTTCTGCGCCGTGAAAAAGAATTGTGATAGCACGGTGTGAATTTTATTTTCCACATCGTATTGGAAACTTTGTGTGGCACTGTGGAATCTTTGTTTCCCACCGTGCAGCAAAACAAAAGGTCTATAACCCAAACTTTCCAGCTGTACGCCTGAGAAAGACAGGGTGAAAACCAGCACCCAAGCTGGGCACCGTTGGGAAAATGATGGGATGTACTACCAACCACTGCGGCCAGGGGTCTCGGGGGTGCTGACACTCCACTGGGGGTACCTTCGTTGTCTGTGTTTCTGCCGGCAGTGCACTATATTTTGCCCCGCTGGTCCCCAAATTCGGAACTGTCGAGGGGACTGGTGGCTTAGAATATCCGCAGGGAAAGAATGTTCCAAGCACGGTTTCTATGCAGACAAGATGACCTGTTGTAGCTTTGCCCGCAAGAAAAGAAACAAAAAACAACTGAGTGAAAACAGCTGAAAACCC